AATTCATGCCTGCAAACTAGAGCTTCTTGGGGCAATGATCCTGTCTATGCTTTTCATCACTATATACCCAATACCCAGCACAGCGATCAGCATATACTAGGCACTTAAGAAATAAGTCATTGAGCACTTGAATAATCTTTAGCAAATTCCTATGAGAGTGACAGTAACATTTTCTCAGTATGGTGGATTCTCACTCTATAATCAGATACTTGTCAATATGCTGATTTTCATTCTGCCATTTGATGTATGTATGTATGGTAGGCTCTGCTTATAGTGTGAAATTCTCTAACCATTTCTCTATTTTTTCCAGGACACAGAAAATGGCATAATGCATANAGCAGTATTATACTTTTTTTCCCCTTGGAAATAACCATCTTTGGGTAGCAAAGGATACTTTTCTTTGTATATTTCTGTGTTTTTTGAATTTTCTGCACTTGTCATATATTACGTTATAGTTAGAAAAATAAATGTTACTTTTTAAATGTGATAGTACTTATTAAAAGGAGGAATTGAGAATAGGAGAGGAGAAGAAGCAATGAAAGAGTATGTGACTATAAGCTTTTGGAGAAAAGAGAAACTAAGACAAAGAGGATCAGGTCTTGCACTGAATAGTTAGGTTTCCTAAGGGGTAGGGGGAGTTGAGATGTGGCGGTAGGGGGCTTGATAAAACCAGGTAAGCATATTTTGCTGTGCTTTTGGGTATTCTGGCAAGAAGCTATTACCAAGGATGGAACTGGAGGAAAGCTTACTGAGAAACTTGGATATGAGATAATACGATTTCTCTCTAAACTATGCTAGAATGCACAAATTTGTATTACTTCATCTCAAATATCCCCAGATTACTTTGTGCCTCTAATATCAACATCCTCCCAAGAGGTCTTCTACTCAAGGCACAAAGATTTGCTTCCATGATTTGTTTCTTCTCACCTCTAAATGATTATCTCTTTTATATATACCACTTTTTCTGCTTCTCCCTGCCAATTCATGCCTGCAAACTAGAGCTTCTTGGGGCAATGATCCTGTCTATGCTTTTCATCACTGTAAACCCAATACCCAGCACAGGGATCAGCATATACTAGGTACTTAAGAAATAAGTCATTGAGCACATGAATAATCTTTAGCAAATTCTTATGAGAGTGACAATAACATTTTCTCAGTATGGTGGATTCTCACTCTATAATTAGATACTTGTCAATATGATGATTTTCATTCTGCCATTTGATATACGTATGGTAGGCTCTGCTTATACTGTGAAATTCTCTAACCATTTCTCTATTTTTTCCAGGACACAGAAAATGGCATAATGCATAGAGTGTAGTAAGCACTTCTCAATAAGCGCTGATCAATGAATTTTGTCTGAATATACCTTTCTATCAGTAACTTCAGGCTTTTCTTCAGTAATCCATTTCTGAATGACATCTGCTGAAGGTGTTCGTTTTAGCTTGTCCGTGAGATAATTCAAAAGAGAGTTAACGGAATTCACCGTTAAGATGTGCATTGCATTCTCAATCAGATAGTCATTTAGACAGATAAAGCTTGAAAAGAAGAAACAAATACAGCTTCAGTTTTCCATATGCATATATATATCACTACATATTTTTGACAGTGACTCTAAAACACATATTTAAATTTAAAAATATCATAATTCCTCCTTGAATTTCCATTTAATTACGGTATCAGAAAACTATTTTCCAGAGAGTTTTTCTTAGACATTCTTCCTTTTAAAACACAAATATATTCAAATATATAGCATCGATTTAGCTAGGTGTTCTAAACCTTCAATGAGATATTTAATGAATAATATAGTTGTTAAGGAAATGAATCTAGCTCATCTAGCCAAGAGGGCCATAAGATTTTTTTAAAGATGCTTCGAAGAAGAAATCAATACATACAACATCTATAACTTGCATTCTAACGGTAAAAGCGCAAAATCGTTGCTATTGAATAAATGCTGTTTGATAGCAATTGTTAACCCCAAAACGCTCATCTTATGTTTCCTTACATAAATTCTTAAAAGGCAGACAGTCAGCAAGACATTTAGAGTAACTTTTTATTCTGCTTAAGTGGAGCTCCAGGGCCTTTAGTATCTCTAGGCTCACAAGGGTGGCCTCAGACGCTGCTTCTTTGACTTATGTTGCTACACAGACATTTGCATATATAAACTGGTGCACAGTTAAGATTTATGAAACAGATAGTGTAAAAGTTGGCTTAAGTTAGTGAGCACCGAATAAAAATAATCAGTTCTTTATAGTTCCACAGACAACTTTTCAGATAATTTGAGTTATTTGTAATCATGAGGTTTTCGAGTGATGGAAAAGCCAAGCTCAGAACAGTCAAGTTTGAGATCCAGTTGAGTAGGCAGGTGGCAGAGCTAATGCTGATGTGGGTGAGCAGGTCCTAGAAGGAAGACTTCCTTCTCTGGCTCCTAATTGCAAAAATCCCTTAGGGATAGGGTGGCACCTTGTGTGGTTTATGCAGCTGTTTGTAGTTCTTTAGATGGAGCAGGCCCTCCAGGCCTACTTGGTGAGGTCCACAAATATCTGTGTGCCCAACTTCTCCTTACCACAGTCTGCTCTACTTCTGGCCTCCATGCTCCAGATTGGGGCAGAGGGTAACAAAGCCACAGAGACCAAAAAGGCGCTCTTGGCCTTGGACTCATGCTCTAGTCTCTCTCTACCAGCTCCCCAGTCCCTGCAGCTGCTTTGCTGGATGGCAGTTGGAGGGGCAGGCTTCTGGCATGGGTATTCAGGTCACCATATCCCCCAAATTTCTCATCACTATTTTTTTCTGGAAGAAAGAATAATCAGTTACCATGTCAGCCTCATGCAGTGGTGCCTTTTGCTGGCCTGCTCTGTGTATGTCATTCTCTCGGAGTCTCCATAGGTGGGCAACTCAAATGGCGCTTCAGTGAAACCTGGTATTTTAAAACCGGCTTGTATTTTAAAATATTCTAAGAACAATAGAAGACACAAAAATTCTTGGGTAAAAATTCCATTTCTTTTAATATGATTAAAAGAAAAGACAAATAAAATTCAAAAACAACAAAATCCTTTGGTTCACAACGAATTTCAAACCCCAGAAAACAGCCCAGTTATTCAAAAGAGTTTCATATGAAAGGATTTCAACTCAACAAGACTATAGACAGTTTACTAACATTCTTGTTAACAAGATTTGATCTGTATACTATGCTATCTCTTTCCCAGGAACACTTTTACTCTCCTTTTCTACCAGCATTTTAGTCATCCTTTAGAGATCCAGTCCCTTAATTTTAACAAAACTATTGTCGGTAGTAGGTTAGACATACCTTTAAGCAGAAAGGCCTTGAGTCCACTATTAAATGCTTATGAATTAAGATTCTGTATCCAGTTCATAAATACTCTATACACAAGCAGGAGTAAAGCAAGAGAAATGCAGTATTTACTGTTTTTCCTCCTTCCACAAAATACATTAAATTTAAAACATATCAAGCAAAAGCTTAGAACAATTGAAAAAGCAGAATCATTATTTAAACTTAAGAACAGTAGAATAAAAAAAGAGGTGATATTTTAGGAAGACACTGATTCTGATATATTGAGGTTCTTTCCCCTACATACCCTCGGAAGGCTCAAATGCACAGTCATCAGGAGTAAATCCTACAGCATGCAAAGCAAATCGACAAGCCTTCCTGACAACATCTTTTGCTTCGTTTCGAAATTCTTCTAGGTGCGCTGTCACCTAGACATTGATGATATGTATAATTAGTGATACTAAAGTAGCAATAATAGGGAAAAAAATATTGATCTTTATAGACAAAATTCCTCACCTGTGCTAGCCACATGACTTGTGCGGCCTTAAATTCCTGCAGGGTGTAGGTGTGACATTTTTCAATATAACAAAGTCCCATAAAACTCAATTGATAACACATTTCATTTACTTTAAGAAGAGCTGGTCGCAAATACTGAATGAAAATAAGAATTTAGCATTATTTAGTTAAAAAAAGCCCCTGTATTTTAAAAGTATGAAAACATTTGGAAAGAAAGAATGGTTATTAAGGATAAAAAACAGCTCTGTATGTTAACTTTAGCTACAACTACAAAATGCATACATTAAATAGGAACACTCCTGAAATTTTTCTCTGAAAGAATTTCTTAAATTATCAGATTTAACTTGTCAAAATTCCTTTCTTTTAATTTTGAAAAGGTATACATGTCTTCCAGCTACTTAAGAAATGAAATTGAGGCAAGTAACAAAACTGGGCAGGATCTTAACTTTCATTAGATTTGGCTAATGGCTACTAAAAGATTCTTTGTGTTTCCTTAAGGACTTTACAATGTTCAGTCATAATGGTAATAAAAGAGCCCATCTATTAATCTAAGAGGCTATGACATAGAACAAAGGCAAATTTAACTTTAAATTTTCAGTGGGTAATAAGTTGCTCTGGAAAACTGTTCCATATTTGCTCAGAAAATTAAACATAGCGTTACTACTGACCCAGCAATTCCACTCCTAGGCATATGCCCAAGAGAAATGAAAACATATGTCCAGGCAAAAACTTGTACATGAATGTTCACAGCAGTGTTATTCATAATAGCCAAAAAGTGGAAGTCACCCAAATATCCATCAATAGATGGATGGATAAATAAAATAGGTATATCCCCATACAATGGAATATAATAAGTCAATGAAAAGAAATGCTATGCTACAACACAGAAGGATGGATGGATAAATAAAATAGGTATATCCCCATACAATGGAATATAATAAGTCAATGAAAACAAATGCTATGCTACAACACAGAAGGACCTTTTTGTCTTTTTTCATGACCGGCAATGGATCGCAACCCTCAGTGTCGCGCCCGTACCGGACCGGGACCAGCAACGGGATCGCAACCCTCGGTGTTGCGCCCGCACCTTGCTCAGCCAGTGAGCGGCCAGTCTGTACGTGGGATCCAAACCCTCGGCGGGAGTGCTGCCGTGCTCCCAAGCAGCGCACTGTAGCAGTGCGCCACTGGGCCGGCCC